AGATTAGATATAACATACAGATGTACTTACAATGGATATATTATACAGATTAAATGTGGTTATAGATATATGTACAGTACACAGAAAAACTGTGAGCATGTTTTACAGATGGATATGATTAGATCAATGTGATTAAATCAATAATTGTGCAGTCAAGGTGTAAAAATGTCCCCCTTGTGCTTTGTAGTAGTTCAAATGTACTAAACTTAACAAATATACTAGTGTCATCAGCAATGTTAAGTGAAAATCAATGACTTTTGGTCACATTGTGTGTCAACAACATTATCAATAGTCCTTTTAAATATTTTTATTAATCATTCACTCAACCTTCATGCCAATACATGTGTTTTTTCTTTAATTATCCACTAATTATCCTCCCCAATCTCCCTTCGCCCCTGGCATCCTGGAACAAAAATCTGCTGTTTTCAGTCAATGTATGGCAGTGAATTTTCTTGCATACGATCCTCGAGGGCTTTTTTTTTATTGTTTCATCTTGTGTCCTCAACATTTGACTGAAGCCCCAGCGGAGAGCAGGAGAGCAGCTCAATGGCTGAAATAAAGCAGCAAATCAGCTTAACGCCAGAGGAGAGTCTCAGCGTTCCTCCATATCAAAACCTCAGCAGCACATCTGACCTTTACATTTAAACACGGAGACGACTTTCAAACCCGCAGCCATTCAGACACACACAGACATAAAAACACTTGGGCTGTCACTACACTCCAGCTTTTAATCGAATTAATTACACTATGTTGCCAATAATTCGCAAATTAACCGCTTGTGAAATTAAACTGAGAAACGACTCCCCAGTTGTGTTGGCATTATGTTAAAATTAACAGGATTTATAACTCATTTGAATAAAAAATTAATCTAAACTTGGTATAGAGATAATATAGAGCATTTATTGCAGTTTCAGAATAGTTTAGTAATCAACCATAGATATATACACTAGATATCGCATATGGTCCCTGAGCATGCATCAATAGTGCTGCCATATTTGTACAGTGCTCCTGGGACAAAAGTCATTCAACAGCACTAGACTCAAGACTGAAGCCAATGTGAAGATGCTGGACTTTAGCACTGTGTGCGGGTATGGTAATGAGCAAACAAAGAAAACAAAGCACAAAGGCAGAACATTTCATAGGTAAGATTTAGTTTTTTATGTTTTTGTATGTTACAAACTTTTGTGCTTAACAAGTATTGATAATAATACAGTCACTACTACAATACTGCAACTTCTTTCTTTGAAACTTGTATTATTGTCGGCTAAGTGAATGAGTCGTTCATAAAGGGGATTCATTCCCAAACTAATCGCTCCCTCCGTTAGAATTAGAGGTGACAGCAGGAGAGAGGGTGTGTTTCAGGACATGAATTAGATCAAATTTAACAGTGAGGGAGGATGATACATTTACATACATACAAACACACACTCTTTGTTAGCAATGCCCATGCAGTCACTTATCCATTGATGTAGAAAAGTGATGTAAAATTAAAATTTTGGTAAATTAAAACAATACTTGCATACTGACCACCGAAAAAATCTGCCAATCATAGATATATGTACAGTTGAAGTCAGAATTATTAGCCCCCTTTGAATTTTTTTCTTCCTTTTTAAATATTTTTCAACTGATGTTTAACAGAGCAAAGAAATTTTCACAGTATGTCTGATAATATTTTTTCTTATGGAGAAAGTCTTATTTGTTCTTTTTCGGCTAGAATAAAAGCAGTTTTCAAATTTTTCAACACTATTTTAGGGACAATATTATTAGCCCCTTTAAGCTATATTTTTTATCGATACAGAACAAGCCATCGTTATACAATAACTTGCCTAATTACCCTAATCTGCCTAGTTAACCTAATTAACCTAGTTAAACCTTATAAATGTCCCTTTAAGCTGTATAGAAGTGTCTTGAAAAATATCTAGTCAAATATTATTTACTGTCATCATGGCAAAGATTAAATAAATCAATTATTAGAAATGAGTTATTAAAACTATTGTTTAGAAATGTGTTGAAAAAAATCTGCTCTCCATTAAACAGAAATTGGGGAAAAATAAACAGGCGATCTAATAATGTAGGGGGACTAATAATTCTGACTTCAACTGTATATATGTGTATATATCTCTGGCTTTGGATGGCCACAGTCCTCCACTGCACCATGATCCCACATTCATTTCAAAAGTGCGCTACCCTGTACTAAAATGGCAGCAAATGTTGACTCATTCTTTCCCATAGAGCACAGATTTACCTGTGATTTCAGGCATTTGTCTGCGATTTCTCAAAACCTGTCGTCAAGTCAAAAACGGGGCTGAAATTATCCAGTCTGAACTCTGCATTAGAAAATCATTTTTCACAATTTTACTATTTTTACTGTATTTTTGATTACATATATGCAGCATTGGTAAGTAAAACAGGCTTCATTTAAAGGAACACTGCACCTTTTTTTAAATAAACTTAACCCAGAGTTAAAAAAAAAATAATAATAAATAAATTTTTGAATTCATGTTAGCTTAGCTTAGCATAAATCATTGAATCGGATTAGACCATTAGCAACAAACAAAAAAAAATGACACAAAAGTTTAGATAATTGTCCTATTTAAAGCTTGACTCTTTAATAGTTACATAATAAGCCAGAAAATAGGTCGATATGTCCACTTTACTCTCATTCCAGCGTAATAATCAAGGAACTTTGCTGCTATACCATTTTAAAGAAGTTTTCTGGTTGAATCTTGCTAATTAGCACTACACCATATTGGAAAAAATCGGTAACACTTTATTTTGATGGTCTATTTGAGTATTAGTAGGCTGTATGGCTAATATCTGCTGATAATGCTCCTTCAACAGACATTATAAGAAACTTTGCAAGTACACGTCAACTTACACTAACCCTAACCCCAACCTAACAGTCTACTTATAATCTAATGAGAATTAGTTGCAATGTAACTTACCTTCAACAAACGGAATAAAGTGACCAAAAAATCGGATAAAACGATTTTTTATTTTTCTGCGATAAATATTAGGATATAAATACAAATTTACAAGACAGATTAAATAGCTCTTTTTGACCCTTTTTTTCCCCTTGTGCTTTGTATCAGTGCAAATGTACTAATACAAAATATGTACATATTATTTTACATATCTGAACAGTATTCAGGTACAAAAATGTTATAATCTCACTGCAAAAATCGCTTTTCTCCTTTTGGTTTGTCTCGATTTAGTTCAAATATGTGAACAAATTCTTAGATCAAGTAAAAATATCGTTTTATTTTCACCTTCAGAAGAAATGAGTCAAAATAAATATTTCTTCCTTTAAAGGGTCACGAAACACCAAAACACATTTTTTGAGCTGTTGACAGTTGTATATGTGTCCCACACTGCTAAAAACACTATTAGGACACCTATATTTCACTAAAAAGTGTAAATTGGTTGTTTTTGCGTTATTTCAAGCAAATTCGTACTTCCGGTTTGAAACGAATTTTTGAAGCTGCGTCACGGTCATGACATAATAGCGTGTATTCCAGCGTGCAGACTGGACGTCTGTGCCAGAGTGTGTCTTATTACGTCTTACAGTGTGATGCATTAATGCATGAGTAAAGCTTGGTTCAAACCAATCAGCGCGCTCTATTGTGCAACTTTATTAATATTCATTACTGTCATAGTGTTTAGACGACAGAGACGCCACGTTGTGTTGGCAAAACAAGCGTGAAGAGTTGCTTTTATAGTTTGCTGCTGTTAAGTTTTGTTTTCATTTTCTCTCTGTGAGAACTCATCTGGAGTCATGTGTGGATTAACAGTGTACGCGACGCTCGACAACAATAACTTACGTGTCTAAGGAGAAACATTGTTTACCTGAGAGCTGTTCTCATCTGCAAACGCTGAGATCCGGATTCGCTTGTAGCCTCCTCTTAATAAAGACGCGGCTCTAGTTGCTGGTGATTGTTCTGTCTCTACAGATTTGGTAAGTGAGCGACCAGTGCTCTTTGTTTATTCAGTTTGTTCGTATCGAACAAACTATTGCACCGAGTGTAAACATGTTAGCACTACAATTAAACTTTAACCTCGTGTAGGATTTTCACCGCATTTTGTGACCGGAATAACACACGCGGCTTTCTGAGGCTACCTGCCGAGTGCATCTAAGTTTCCAGGAAATGCGGAGGGTTTTTTTTTCTCTCATTCGCCGTGCGGTATCAAACATTGCATGAAAAATACACGCTTACAGCAGTTCCGCGAATCAAATATCCCGTTTGTCGCGAGGGACATGAATGAATTCCCTGAATGAAAGAGCCAAACTGCAGTTAAAGTCCACCATTTAATAATTTGGCAAATAATTCGACTACAGATGTCCATGTAAACACAGTCACTTTGTCCCCTGTGTGTGTGTGTGTGTATTTTGACTCTGAAACTCAGCGTTCCCAAATAGACACTCCCACACCATGCCTCTTTTCTTCCTCCGACACTCCGCCCTAAACAGAGCTGGACACGCCCACTTTTCTGACTTTTTCCAAAGGTGTGAAAAAACCCTGCTGAAACGAGGGGGTTTCATTGCCCTTTAAAGCAAGCAGAATTATCTGCCAGTGGTAAGTAAAATAATCTTGTTTTTGCTTTGAAATGTAATTATTTGGACTAGAAACAAGACAAAAATGCATTTTTTGCATCGATTCTGTACAAATAATACAATAAATCTTTGTTACACCTCCAATCATCCTACTTTTTTGTGCTTAAATGTTCTAAACTCCCTTCAAATGCTCAGTCACAGGGCTTAAATACACATGCAAGTGATAAACTTTCACTCTATTATGGTTAAACTAGCAGTGACTCAACAATCCTCATGCGTTCTGCGGCTCTTGATCGACTATATTTCAGACTCAACACTGAATTTGTGACTGTTGCAGATGCGCACATTGTGATATTAATGCTGAAACAATATATTGCACAGCCTTATTGCTAATCTCGTACATTTCACCACTGATATAAATCATTTTAATGAGTTGATAAAAACGTACCTTCACCACAGGCCAGTAGTGCGGCTGACCCAGGAGTTTAGTGATGGCGGGGATGCCGTAATGCAGCCGCACTGCATTCTGGGCCAGCTCAGCATCAGGATGGCGGCTGGTGAGGTGTCTCAGGGCACAGACTGCGGGTTCGGCTACATCCTCCTTCTCTCCGGCTCGGAGCACAGCGTGAATGAGCGCCTCCACGCCGCCGCTCTGCGTGACCAGGGCCTTGTTGCGGGCGTTGTTGCAGGTGAGGTTTGACAGGATGCCAGTGGCGCAGGTCAGCATGTTGACATCATCAGAGCCCAGCTGACTCACTAAGATCTGCAGCAGACCGTCCAGACCTTCCTGAACACAAATAAAGCCAGAAGAGCTCAGATACGGTCGATGAGAATGTATAACATTTCCATGTGGAATACTTGATTCTGATTGGTGAAGAATACGCAGCGCTTAGCATAAATGAGTACACCCCCTTTTGGAAAATGAATATTTATATCTATTTCTCAGTGAACGAAGCCTTTTCAAAAGACTGTTATAACAAGTTTAATATTCATCTTCATCTTAAATCCTTGAACATTCTTAATATTTAGATTCTATGTATCTATGTATATTTATATGTATTTATCCAGTTAAACTCTGCTGTTATTTTGAGATTTTCGCCTGTATTTTGCCTACCCAAATTTAAAAGCTTCCCAAATCCACATGCAGAGGTGTAAGTACTAAAATTTGGTGTAATTTTAAAGAAAACCCTTTGAATTTTCATTAAACACAATTGAAAGTGTTTAAAATATCTGTATTTGTTGTCTGTGTTATTATAAACATCTAAAAAAAGAGGCGCTTTTTTTTTTTATGAACTCAAATTTGAAAGTGTACCTTTTAGGTTCTGTGTGGTCTAGCGTGCTGTAATATATTTTGGTGGTTCCTGCACATGTCTGTAATCATAGGAAAAAATAAAAATATCTCTACTATAATCTATGCAAAAGTTATTGTATTCCAACTGATGAGAGGTGCTGTACAAGCCACAGGGAGCGATCATTGTTTACATATTTCACTATTCTTTTGTTTGATCAAACATAATTCACTGTGTATGGACCTTGTCAGACATATAAAATGATTACTTATGCACATCACCTCAAAAACAGAGGAGAATGGCCCTGAAGCGCACAGCATAAGGTAAGAGATGACAGCTGTCTGTGCTATCCGGGGCTGCTTATTGATCCTAAATGTATTGTTTTCACTTCTGCACCATGGAAACACCATGATTCATTCGGCAACTGTTTGATATGTGAATATAACTCAGTAAAAAGAAAGCTAAAACCGTATGAGCACCGGGAAGAGCTTTCATTTGAGCTATAACTTGTACATGTGTCATATGAAAAATATGAAAATGAACCAATGTAAAATACCCAGCTCGGGTATCCAAAATACTGTGTATTTAAGTGTAAATAACTTTTGCACAGTAGCATAAAAACCAAAGTGATGCATATGTGCATGAAATAGATTCTACACTTTCAAACTAAGCCACTTAAGGGGGTCTGGTGCAATGCTAGTCCTTTAAATCTAAAAGCATTATATCATCTTTGCATCAAAAAAAAAAACAAAAAAAAAAACTATGTACCGCTTGTTTGAGGTGTTTCTAATGGCCCTAACAGCACACAAGTGTTAACTGAATAACTATATTATCTCTAAATCACATCTGCAAAGAAAGAAAGAAAGAAAGAAAGAAAGAAAGAAAGAAAGAAAGAAAGAAAGAAAGAAAGAAAGAAAGAAAGAAAGAAAGAAAGAAAGAAAGAAAACCAAACCTACTAAAAAAAAGTACTTTTACTTTCACAATCAGGCGCTGTATGATGCTATTAAAAATCACACCCTAAAATATCACATCATGATGACAAAATTAAATTTAAGCACATTAATTTGTGATAATAAAGTCCCATACCGGGAGAACTAAAGAGAGCTTTTAGCACCAAAATGATGATGGGAAAAAGGTATTGGACACACAACATTTATCACATCTCCAGGGGAGTGAAAACAGGCTGAAAACGTCACCTGTCCTCTCCAATTTGGCTGGTTGGCAGATGTTAACTTTTAACACCTCTTGTGACTTGTTACTGAAACAGTGAGTATTTTAAAGGGCTCCAATTCTGGCCTTTTTACAAGATGTAAAACAAATCTTTAGTGTCTCCAGAAAGCATCTGTAAAATTTCAGGTCAAAATACCCATCAGAGCATGTATTATACCCTGCTGAGAATGTCAATTATTGGGTAGTTGAAGCTGTTTTGGCCCCTGTGTTTTTAAATGCAAATGAGCAGGTTATCCCCGCCCACTCAAAGTAGGTTTCCCCTGCCCTCTCCTCAGATGTCAGGACAGACCCGGAAAAAGTCAGAAAGCAACTCTGACACAATAAAGCAGAGTACCACAGTCACAAACACAGGAACTCCTGTGATTGAAGCTTCCTCGTTTATAGTTGTGAATGTGCACACTGTGCAGATGTGCTTATTCCAGCGGTTATTACGTACGCTAATTACATGGCTCAAAAGGTTGAGTTCAAAATGTTATATAAAAATACAAAATGTGCCATTTACTGCTTCATGAGATGCAATTTGGACAGATCTTTTAATCCCAGTTTCTTTGCAAATCCTGTCTAATAGACAAGATAGTACGTATTAATAGTGAGACATGTTAATACACACCTATCAATCAATATAGATGTGTGGGGAAAACTGCTACGTCATGCTGCGATGGGCATGGAAATTGTGGACTTTGGATATTTGATATTTTAAAGAAGAGACTAGAGTTGGGCGATGTTGACTAATTTGGCATCGTACGATGTCTGATGTGAAACATCAAGATGGTCATCATGTGAAAACTCAGTGAGGGGGTAGAGAGGGTGCGCGAGACGTATCGGAAGAGCGAGGAGGGATCTGGAGGGTGAGAAGGGTGCTCAACTTATTTAGGGACGCACGATTTCCGGGAGATTATCACTCATCCTGCAAATTCATAGAGACTCCCAGAACTTCCGCGAGACTTGGGATGTCTGAATATCACGTTTAACAACTATAGTGAGACGCGATCCAGTGGTACATCCATGATGAACTGTTCAATGTGCACTGGGATTAGGAGATATACCTACACACATTTCTGTCCAAACAGCTTTCAAACATTGCATTTGCATGAAAGGTGCAGTTTAATGTTCACAAACTGACCCCATTCACTTTCATTACAGCTGTTTTAAAGAGAAAAAGGATCAAATGAAAATCATTTTTAATAGTGAGGTACTAGAAATCAAGCCAAGGGCACCGCTGATTGACTTTAACTTGTGCTGAATGTGAAATCCTGCTTTAAAATTCACCTTTTCATGTATCAGACATGATCAGTGACAAAAACAGTGCAAAAGATTCCCGTAAAAAACATGACATTTCCAAAATCAGTCATCTGCTAATTATCACAAATGAAACACATGATTGGAAGAGGAGACGCCTGAGATAAGAAGCAAATGAAAGAGGAAAGGCGGTGAAAGAAGGAGATAAGAGTGTGTGAAGGATTAAACAGGCAAAAAAAGACGAACAGACTCTGAGTGACGGATACATACATACATTTACATTCCAGACACTTTCCCTGAGAGAAGAAGGGGCCGCGTCTGTTAATAGTTGTGTTTTTGTTCCCTGAATTTAATAATAAGGACAAAAATGATAACCTGTTTATCGTTAATTGTGCCTTTTCTGGGCCAGTGAATTGTGATGAGGAACAAACTGTGAGGAACAATTAGAAAAAACCACGAGTCGCCTGCGTTATGAAAGCAGTCAGGAAGTACAGAAGAACATTGGACTACATGAAAGCTGTCGGCTGGCTTTTAAGCTTTGTCTGGACTGAAATACTTTGAGGCATTTGCATATTTAATAACCGAATGCGTGTTATAAAAATAAATGCTATTGTTATTGCATTAAGAGCCAAATATTCTAATTATTTGTTTCACAAAGACATTTCACACTTAAGCCAGGCTTTCGATTGACTGATTTTTTCTTTAGAATAATTGAAGAGATTTTCACTTATTAAGTAAATTGTTTATTTATATATATATATATATATATATATATATATATATATATATATATATATATATATATATATATATATACACACACATACTTACCGGCCACTTTATTAGGTACACCTGTGCAACTGCTTGTTAATGCACATTTCTAATCAGCCAATCACATGGCAGCAACTCAATGTATTTAGACATGTAGACATGGTCAAGATGATCTGCTGCAAAACGAGCATCAGAATGGGGAACAAAGGTGATTTACGTGACTTGTTTGATGGTGTCAGAAGGGCTGGTCTGAGTATTTCAGAAACTGTTGATCTACTGGAAGTTTCACGCACAACCATCTCTAGGGTTTACAGAGAATGGTCTGAAAAAGAGAAAATATTCAGTGAGAGGCAGTTCTGTGGGCGCAAATGCCTTGTTGATGCCAGAGGTTAGAGGAGAATGGCCAGACTGGTTCCAGCTGATAGAAAGGCAACGCACAACACGTCCAACTAGAGATCTGCATGGGACAAAATTTTTAATCCCGCTCCCGTCTGCTTGCGCCAGGTTTAAGTCCGAACCCGACCGCTCACGCTTATATTCAGCATTTGTTGTCCTGCTGTCCGACCTACCACGACCGTTCTCGCTTGGGGGGGGGGGGGGGGGGGGGGTTTGGATCCAGAAAGCCTACAACAAGCTGTCTGTTTTAACACACACACATAAACACACTGCACCAAGCAAGCGACGCACAGCATCACGCTCTCTCACTCATTCACACATACACATACACATAGACAGCACCAAACAAGCGACACACAACATCACGCTCTCTCTCATTCACACACAGACATACGCGTACTCGCTCGCTCGAGAGTCGGAAGCAATATTGTTAGACCGCCCGCAAATTACACCAGAGTTACCGACCGCTCCCGCGATTTATTTACACATTTATTCCCGTGCCGCAACAAATCTGGTCGGGTTCACTTGGATGCCCTTCCAGCCGCTTCCTGTCAGCTAAGAACAGGAAACTGAGGCTACAATTCGCACAGGCCCACCAAAATTAGACTTTAGAAGATTGGAAAAACCTGCTGGTCTGATGAGTCTCGATTTCTGCTACAACATTAGGATTGTAGGGTCAGAATTTGGAGTCAACAACATAAAAGCATGGACCCATACTGCCTTGTTTCAATGGTTCAGGCTGGTGGTGGTGGTGTAATGGTGTGGGGGATATTTTCCTGCCACACTTTGGGCCCATTAGTGCCAATTGAGCATCGTGTCAACACCACAGCCTACCTGAGTATTGTTGCAGACCATGTCCATCCCTTTATGACCACAGTGTACCCATCTTCTGATGGCTACTTCCAGCAGGATAACGCGCCAAGCGTGAATCAATTCCGACTGGTTTCTTGAACATGACAATACGTTCACTGTACTCAAATGGCCTCCACAATCACCAGAACTCGATCCAATAGAGTGCCTTTGGGATGTGGTGGAACGGAAGAGTCGCATCATGGATGTGCAGCCGACAAATCAGCAACAACTGCGTGATGCTATCATGTCAATATGGACCAAAATCTAAGGAATATTTCCAGTATCTTGTTGAATCGATGCCACGAAGGATTAAGGCAGTTCAGAAGGCAAAAGGGGGTCTACTAAGGTGTACCTAATAAAGTGGCCGGTGAGTATATATAATACTCTTAATGCTTTTGCAGGGATTGACAAGGTGTTGATAAAAAGGTTTGGCCGTTTGTGTTTCTTGGCGGATGCAAGGATGTTGCTAGGATGCCTGGGAGGTTGCTAGGCAGATGCTAAGGTGCTCTGGGTGGTTGCTTGGGCATTTCTAGGATATCGCTCATTATGGGTGGCTGTCAGATGGTGCTTAGCGGTTGCTAGGAATTTACTTGCCATTGCTAAGCATGTGTTCTCTGGATTGTTTCTCTGGCATTGATAAGCAGTTACTAGGGCGCTTTGTGCGGTTGCACACAATTCCACAACATATGGCTTTCAGTATAAATCTGTGGGATTTTTCACCTGCTCCATCATCCACCGGACCAAAAAATCCAATTGCTCTGCAAAGTAAAAGCAGCTCTGCTCAATAAGCCACACGATTTGAGGTATCATTCGTATTGAGTCATTCAGCACAGGATGAGAGATTAGAACAAATCTCAAACCCTAAGCATGAGGAATAACAGCGAGCAGCGAGCAAACACACGGTCGGCAGAGTGGAAAAGCTCATTTACCTGCTTGGTTGCAGCGTCAGAGAGATTCCTCAGGGTCCACAGGCAGTTCTGTGTTAGCCGCTGACTCGAACCTGTGAGATGTTGGCCGAGGGCCTGCATACCTCCTGCCAAATGGAGAGAAAGAGGTTTAGAGTCCATATTTATCGGACTAAGCCACAGGAAAAAAACAAGAAAAGGAAGAAAGAACAAAACTATCCAGCTACACAAGCCGCTCTATAAAGAAGGCTGTATTTCTCCATGGATTAGCCATTGTCTGCCAAGGGGAGAGAAATGTCTTTTGGAGTCTGTGCAGATAAACTAAAAGCCACATGGCTTAGGAAGATAAAAAGAGGGAAGGAGATTAGGAGACATCCTTGAAAACTGCCTCTCATCCTGCGTTGTAACTACCCGATCCTCAGTGCTTTCTCAAGTCGAGCGTCGAGACATATGGACGAGGACATGGTCATGCCATAACTGTAAAGACTTTTATTGGATCGGCACTGGCAGGCGAGATAAGGCGAGATATTTGAGTCCCGTAACCTTTGTCAGTGTGTATCTAAGTGTTAATTCGCTGAAAGGTCAGCATTAATAAAGTTACATCCATACAGCGATGGCACTGACAGCTGGAGATAAAGATGGGTTTTAGCATAAATTGCACTTTTAATATTTTTTTTAATTAGTTTTAAATCTAGTTGAGTTCAGAGGCTGAATCATACACTCATACCTGTCAACCCTCTCGTTTCTCCCGGGATTCTCCCGTATTTTACAGTTCTATCCCGCTATCATCCTGTAAAGGTATTTCGCCTGTATTTTAAGTCTGAACAGCCGAGCCTTCCTATACGCAACCCATACCTCCGAACCACCAGGGGTCGCCCCATGTTCAAAAACGTGAGTCTTCTGTGCTTTCGCTTTGTTTAGGAATGAAAACACTTTTAAATAAATATTAAAAACGGCGTGATTCCATTTCCTTTTGATTACAGGTGCCGTCACCCATCCGATACAATCCTCAAAACATTCATATAATGGTGCATGACGGTCAGCTGACGTGCTTCATAGTGATAAACAGATGCTGTTTCCCAAACGGATTCTGTACACGCGATTTGAAGCGGAGAGAAAGTCTGGCTTTCGGGTGCGTGTTTAAACAGACATACACACATTATTAATAATAATAACATATAAGGATGTCGATCTCGGTGTTTTTTATTTTCCCAAACACAACTAATTTTGTCTTAAATAAGCATAAAATGTTTTTAAAGCAGTCAAATGCTATCATTATAATGTGTGTGCATTTTTAAAGTGACACCTTTTTGTTTATTGTAATAAAAAAATCTTAATAAATGCGAGATTCATTCGTTGCTCTTAATCAGAATGTGTAAGTTATACAGTGGAGAAACGACTAATGAGATTTGACAGCTTGATTCTATTTCATTATAATAGCTATTCATTTTAATTAGCTGAATTGTTTGCTAATGTATTTGCTGCTAATGTTTATATTTATTTTTCTTTTGTTAATAATAATTGTAAAACATATCACTGACCATTTAACTGTTTATTTACAATAAAACAGCTCCAAATGAACATATTTAGTAATTTGGGGGGTTTTTTTAAGGGGAGGATCCCTTATTATGGTGGGCATATCCCTTATTTTCTTATCCCAATGTTGACAGGTACAGTATGTATACTGTATGCATCATGTGTTTTTAAGACTGTAGTGGCTTACACAAATGCTTCTGACATTTCAAGTCATTGGAATTGTAACATGTTGTTTGTTGTTTGCTCAAACTGCTTATTTAAAATAAGCCTAATTGTTTTATGATCAATCCACTTAAATTTGTAAGCACTAATAAGCTAACTTAATAACTTCATGTTGCCCCAAAACAAATCGATTGTGTGGAACCCAGCTTTTTTACAGTGTACTTATACCAGACATTTTTAGTATGTTTGATTTTATTTGTTCATCAGTCTTGAAATTAATAAAATACTGCTGACTACACTGTATTTTTGATTACATATGCGCTCAACGGCCACTTTATTAGGTACACCTTACTAGTACTAGGTTGGACCTCCTTTTGCCATCAGAACTGCTATAATCCTTCATGGCATAAATTCAACAAGGTGCTGGAAATATTCCTCTGAGATTTTGGTCCATATTGACATGTTGCTGCAGATTTGCACATCCATGATACGAATCTACCATTCCACCACATTCCAAAAGTGCTCTATTGGATTGAGGTCTGGTGACTGTGGAGGCCATTTGAGTACAGTGAACTCATTTTCGTGTTCAAGAAACCAGTCTGAGATGATTCACGTTTTTTGACATGGCGCATGATCTTGCTGGAAGTAGCCATCAGAAGATGGGTACACTGTGTTCATAAAGCGATGGATATGGTCAGCAACAAAACTCCTATGCTGTGGTGTTAACACGATGCTCAATGGATGCTAAAGGGCTCAAAGTGTGCCTAGAAAATATCCCCCACTCACCACCACCAGCCTGAACCGTTTATACAAGGCAGTATGGGTCCATGCTTTCATGTTGTTGATGCCAAAATCTGACCATACCATCTACATGTCGTATCAAAAATCGAGACTCATCAGACCAAGCAACGTTTTTCCAATCTTCTATAGTCCAATTTTGGTGAGTCTGTGCGAATTGTAGCCTGAGTTTCCTGTTTTTAGCTGACTGGAGTGGCACCTGCAGTAATCTTTTGCTGCTGTTGCCCATCTGCCTCAAGGTTGGATGTGTTGTGCGTTCAGAGATGCTTTTGATCACAAATTTGAGTTAATGAGCAGTTAAACAGGTGTACCTAATAAAGTGGCCGGTGAATGTATCCTTAGAGAACATTAAAAGACATTATAAAAACATTCAAGAAATTTCTGTCAAAACCTTCTAATAATTGGCAACATCAATCATAAGACAAACAAATGTAAAATCACCCCCACTAATCTCATACTGTATATACTGTATTGGATTTTTTGTCTTGTTTCTAGTCCAAATATCTACAAATCCTTAAATCAAGAAGCATTTTCTAGACAAGCAAAACATATTGTCTTGTTTTCAGAAATAATATGGCAAAATGAAGTGAGTTTTTCCTCAAATCAAGCTAAATAATCTGCCAATGGGGTAAGCAAAATAATCTTGTTTTTCGATTTGTGATAAGATTATTTTGCTTACCCCATTTTTTTATTTATTTTTTCCCTCTCCGCTGTCGCCACTGCCTCGCATGGTTCAGGATTGGTAGAGCTACGCATCGATGAATTTGCTCTTCAGTGTTTGAACTCTCAGTAATGATTAAATCACACTGAACTGAGCTAAACTGAACTGAACTTAAACACTAAAACCTGAACTACACTGTTCCAGTTACTATGACCATTTATGTGAAGCTGCTTTGACACAATCTACATTGTAAAAGCGCTATACAAATAAAGCTGAATTGAATTACCCCATTGGCAAATTATTTTGCTTGATTTGAGGAAAAACTCACTTCATTTTGCCATATTATTTCTGAAAACAAGACAATATGTTTTGCTTGTCTAGAAAATGCTTCTTGATTTAAGAACTTTTAGATATTTGGACTAGAAACAAGACAAAAAAATCTCGGTAAGAAAAGCATTTTTTGCAGTGTAGGCGGTTCATTCTGCTGTGGCGACCCCAAATTAATAAAGGGACTAAGCCGAAAAGAAAATGAATGAAAGAATAATCTCATATATAGATCTGCATCATGAATCATGAATGACTTGGAAAATTCTTAGAAATTCATACATCTAGAAAGGTGTGAGAAAAGATTTTAAAACATCTGAAGCGGACAAAATGAGATGGAGATTGCAACATTAGAAGAAAATTATACCGAAATGCCCAAGAGAACAGTGCACGGGAATGAAAATAAAGAGATAAGATAATAGTCCTTTAGGAACACTGCGAAAGTGAAAGAGAGTTAAAAGAGGAGCATAACACACACACACACACACACACACACACACACACACACACACACACACACACACACGCACACACACACACACACACACACACACACACACGCACACACTCACCAGAATCTACAATTGCCGGCTTGTTGCTTGGACAGACAGAAAGCACCTTCAGGACTCTACTGGTGGTCCAGAGGAGCTTCTCGTAGTTGTAGTTTCTCATAATGAATACCAAACATTCTGGTCCGCCATTAGCCAGGATGATCAACTGAGAGGAGACGAACACAACAAGGATATTGTTAGGGATGATTGGCAACTAAAATATTAGCTTAGGTGTGACGGTGGCGCAGTAGATAGCACGATCGCCTCACAGCAAGAAGGTCGCTGGTTCGAGCCCCTGCTAGGTCAGTTGGCATTTCTGTCTGAAATTTGCATGTTCTCCCCGTGTTGGCGTGGGTTTCCTCCAGGTGCTCCGGTTTACCCCACAGTCCAAACACATGCGCTATAGGTTAATTGGGTACGCTAAATTGATCGTAGAGTATGTGTGAATGCAAGAGTGTATGGGTATTTCCCAGTGTTGGGTTGCGGCTGGAAGGGCATCCGCTGCGTAAAACATGTGCTGGATAAGTTAAATAGCATAAATTGCACTTTTAATATTTTTTTAATTAGTTTTAAATCTAGTTGAGTTTAGAGGCTGAATCATATACTGTATGCATCATGTGTTTTTAAGACTGTAGTGGCTTCCACAAATGCTTCTGACATTTCGAGTCATTGGAATTGTAACATGTTGTTTGTTGTTTGCTCAAAATGCTTATTTAAAATGAACCTAAACAACACAATTATTAAGTTTTTTAAGGACAACTTAATTGTTTTATGATCAATCCACTTAAATTTGTAAGCACTAATAAGTTAACTTAATAACTTCATGTTGTCCCAAAACAAATCGATTGTGTGGATCCCAGCTTTTTTACAGTGGACTAATACCAGTCATTTTTAGTATGTTTGATTTTATTTGTTCATCAGTCTTGAAATTAATAAAATACTGCTGACTACACTGTATTTTTACATTATATATTATATATGCGCTCAACGGCCACTTTATTAGGTACACCTTACTAGTACTAGGTTGGACCTCCTTTTGCTATCAGAACTGCTTTAATCCTTCATGGCACAAATTCAACAAGGTGCTGGAAATATTCCTCTGAGATTTTGGTCCATATTGACATGTTGCTGCAGATTTGCACATCCATGATACGAATCTACCATTCCACCACATTCCAAAAGTGCTCTATTGGATTGAGATCTGGTGACTGTGGAGGCCATTTGAGTACAGTGAACTCATTGACGTGTTCAAGAAACCAGTCTGAGATGATTCACGTTTTGGATGATTCATGTGCTGGATAAGTTGGCGGTTCATTCCACAGTGGCAACCCCAGATTAATAAAGGGACTAAGCCGAAAAGAAAAGAAATGAATGAATGAATGAATGGATAAGTTCGCGGTTCATTCTGCTGTGGCGACCCCTGATTAATAAAGGGACTACAAAATTCAACTGTCTGCCATCGATTATTCCTTAAGTAACTCAACAGACAGTCAGTTATTCGGCTCATACTATGGTAGTCTCACCTAAAATCATTGTTGACAAACACATTTGTCAGGTTCTTGTCCTCAAAAAGCTCCAGTGTGTAGTAAGTAGATGTGTACACATCTCATCCAAAGCCTTTTGTTTTGTTTTGTTGTGATTTCTGACTGGCTATGAAGTAACTAAATCATTCAGCGTAATGATATGGAACTGTGATGTGGTCAAAACAACATCAAATTGACCTCGATGTCAAAAAATATGTCAAAAATGCTAATCGATTTGATGCCCAACACACAACTTTATATCTTTTTGACCACAAAAATAATGCCACATTAAGTTTGTATTAATCTGGAAGCTTCAGTTACACATTTGACACATTTTACACCAGTATTGTATCACTACAATTGTATCCCTACAGGGTGAGGCAGTGGCGCAGTAGGTAGTGCTGTCGCCTCACAGCAAGAAGGTCGCTGGTTCGAACCTCGGCTCAGTTGGCGTTTCTGTGTGGAGTTTGCATGTTCTGTGGAGTTCGCCTTCGCGTGGGTTTCCTCCGGGTGCTCCGGTTTCCCCCATAGTCCAAAGACATGCGGTACAGGTGAATTGGGTAGGCTAAATTGTCCGTAGTGTATGAGTGTGTGTGTGAGTGTGTGTGTGTGGATGTTTCCCAGGGATGGGTTGCTGCTGGCAGGGCATCCGCTGCGTAAAAACTTGCTGGATAAGTTGGCAGTTCATTAAGCTGTGGCGACCCCGGATTAATAAAGGGATAAAGCCGACAAGAAAATGAATGAATGAATGATTGTATCCCTACAATGAATGAATACTACCTAGATGTCAAAACAACATCAAATAGACATCCAACACTGGCATCAAAATTCACATAAAAAATGAACTACAGGACAGTTCTTTAATCCATTTTTAACATGTGTTTTATGCCAATGTTAGATGTCAGTTTGATGTCTAGGTTTTGACATCAAGGTAGTCAAATGACATTTAAATCAATCTGCATATTTGTTTTGTTTTTGACGTGTTTTTGATGGAGTTTTGGGCTGGAACTAACTTAGTTATGCATTTACACAAAATAGCGGCACACCTTAGAATGTTCAACAGCCAATTAAAATCCTCCTGTCAACCACCCATGTATTATCCGCTTGTTAAGTGTGACGTCACGCAAAGCGGCTTCCGGGTCCAAGCGCTCTATTCAACTGTATTGGGAGACTCATGAAATGGTAATAATAAACGTTTACAAAGCGATTTAATGCTTTCAAAAATCACGATCGCAATATATATGTCCATGCCTTATACCCAATGGCCAGAAAGTGATTATTTTTTTATAAATTGTTACATTTTTGGTATTTGATATGCAGCTAGCCCAGAGATTGTTGTGTACACTATGACTTTATATAAAATTAACTTTAATGTGTGATAGGAAATAAAACGTGATCATAAACGAATGATTTTTCCACTCAAATTAATGGACCCGGAAACAGTATTACATACGTCACAAACACATCACTACTTAACAAGCGGATAAACTGCAAACACAAAATAATATGAAGGAGATCAACTCTCAAATGCAAACCCTCACCTTGCTCTCCTGATTTCCATATGAAAGCAGCTGCAGGCAGTCTGTTGTGATGGCCAGGAACTTTGGGTTGGTCTTTTTCAGAAGGGGAACCATCCTTTGAAGTCCATCAGCCAAGCGCACCGCCATTTTGGCTCCCTCCTGGTGCAGTAGCAGGTTGTGTAACGTGGTGATGGCATAGAACAGCACAGACTCCATAGGTGAACTGGAGAAAGAACAGAACATTTCAAACATTTTGGTCAAACAGATTAGGAGGAATTAGATGGACTGTTTCGTAAAGCTATGGGTTAAAGGTCTTATTAAATTTAAAATAAAGATTTTTAGATCCTAGTATCAATATACACTAACCGGCCACTTTATTAGGTACACCTTTCTAGTACCAGGTTGGACCCTTTTTGCCTTCAGAACTGCCTTAATCCTTCGTGGTATAGATTCGACAAGGTACTGGAAATATTCCTCAGAGATTTTGCTCCATATTGATAGCAGTTGCTGCAGATTTGCACATCCATGATGCGATTCCCTTTCCACCACATCCCAAAGGTGCTCTATTGGATTAGGATTCTGGTGACTGTGGAGGCCATCTGAGTACAGTGAACTCACTGTCATGTTCAAGAAACCAGTCTGAGATGATTCACGCTTTACGACATGGCATGTTATCCTGCTGGCAGTAGCCATGTCAAGGATGGACATGGTCAGCCACAATCCTCAGGTAGGCTGTGGTGTTGATGCCAAGAAAATATCACCCAGACAATTACACCACCACCACCAGCCTGAACCATTGATACATGGCAGGATGGATCCATACTTTATGTTGTTGACGCCAAATTCTGACCCCACAATCCAAATGTCGGAGCAGAAATTGAGACTCATCAGAGCAGGCAACGTTTTTCTAATCTTCCATTGTCCAAATTTGGTGAGCCTTTGCGAATTGTAGCCTCAGTTTCCGGTTCTTAACTGACAGGAGTGGCACCTGGTGTGGTCTTCTGCTGCTGTAGCCCATCTGCCTCAAGGTTAAACATGTTGTGCGTTTCTCGGTTGTAACGAGTGGTTATTTGAGTTACTTTAGCCTTTCTATCAGCTCAAACCAGTCTGGCCATTCTCCTCTGACCTCTAGCAGAACTGCCACTCACTGGATATTTTCTCTCTTTTGGACCATTCTCTGTAAACCCTAGAAATGGTTGTGCGTGAAAATCCCAGAAGATCAGCAGTTTTTGAAATACTCAGTCCAGCCCGTCTTGCACCAATAACCATGCCACATTCAAAGTCACTTAAATCCCCTTTCTTCCCCATTCTGATGCTCGGTTTGAACTGCAGCAGATCGTCTTGTCCGTGTCTACATGCCTAAATGTGTCGAGTTGTTGCCATGTGATTGGCTGAATAAAAATTTGCGTTAATGAGCAGTTGGACAGGTGTACCTAATAAAATGACCAGTGAGTGTATATTTAGAAGAGTCGAACCTGCATTCAGCACCTTTAAAAACAAGCCCTCATGTTTTAACATTTTTCGAAAACAGTTTACTCGACAGGATTAGAATGTAAAGCAAACACCGGCAGCTTTGAAACAAAAACTGGCAAGAGTAAACAGCCTTACAGTAGTCCTATCATATTAAACTGAAACAGAAGAGACTATTTTTCACGTCAATAAGATTACACACCTCATCTTTACAGATCTGGACTGCTAGATTTGTCATACACTGATTTCTTCACGATATCACCACAACATCTTTAATCAAGCTGTTTAACTACAGACTGAAGCAAGGAGACTGTCCCTGTGAGTTAATATGGTGATAGTGTGTGTGTGTGTGTGTGTGTGTGTGTGTGTGTGTGTGTGTGTGTGTGTGTGTGTGTGTGTGTGTGTGTGTGTGTGTGTGTGTGTGTGTGTGTGTGTGTGTGAAAGATCCAGCGGCTCTGGCTGAACGGTCATAAAGATCCTGCTCTGCTCTATTATCTCAACATCTGCTGTAAATGGGCTTTCTGACAGAGCAAATTTCCCATCACAGTCCAAATATATCTCTAAAATACAGCTCTGCGGTGCAGTTTTCATGCACAGAGACGGGACTGGACACACCGTCCTGCTTTAGCAGTTCAGTCACAGTGTTCATCCGAGTTTAGCTTTGGGCTCCATTCACAAACTATAAAGGAGATAAAGTGAGGAAAATGAATGTGTGCCACAATGAGAGGAAAGCTAAACACGCTCAGCGAATGATAATAGCAGGTTAATCAGACTCAAAAAGCAAGGATTATGGCTTCCCTCAAGAAGAAGACTGCATTAAAGGGCTAGTTCGCTTAAAAAAATTAATCGTGCCATTTTTGCCAGTTTCTTTCTTCTGTTGAACACAAAATCTTTTGAAGAATGCTGATTGATGGCACCCATTGACTTCCATGGTATTTTTATGGCACCCATTGACTTCCTAGGTAATTTTTTTTTCATGGCACTTATTGACTTCCATAGTATATTTTTTGATGGCACTTATTGACTTTCATAGTATATTTTTGATGGCACCCACTGACTTCCATTGTATTTTTTTTTTATGGCACCCATTGACTTTCATAGTACTTTTTGGTGACACCCATTGACTTTCATAGTATTTTTTGATGGCACCCACTGACTTTCATAGTATTTTTTGATGGCACCCATTGACTTTCATATTATTTTTATGGCACCCATTGACTTCCCAGGTAATATTTTTATGGCACTTATTGACTTCCATAGAATAATTTTTTGATGACACCTATTGACTTCCATAGTATTTTTTTTTATGGCACCCATGACTTCCATAGTAATTTTTTGATGGCACCCATGACTTCCATAGTAATTTTTTGATGGCACCCATGACTTCCATAGTATTTTTTATGGCACCCATTGATTTCATAGTAACTTTTTTGATGGCACCCATGACTTCCATAGTATTTTTTTATGGCACCTATTGATTTCATAGTATTTTTTTGATGGCACAGATTGACTTCCATGGTCATTTTTTTGATGACGCTCATTGATTTCCATAGTATTTTTTAATGTCAACCATCAACTTCCACAGTATCTTTTTTGATGGCACCCATTGACTTCTATAGTAATTATTTTTTGATGGTACAGATGTCTTCCATAGTATTTTTTTGATGACACCCACTGACATCCATAGTATTTTTTATGTCACCCACTGACTTCCAAAGTATTTTTGATGGCACCCATTGACTTCCATAATATTTTTTGATGGCACCCATTGACTTCCATAGTATTTTTGATGGCACCCATACACTTCCATACAAATTTTGTAAGGCACCCATTGACTTCCATAGTAATTTTCTTTATGGCACTCATTGACTTCCATAGTAATTTCCTTTTTTAAAGGCACCCATTGACTTCCATAGTCATTTTTTGATGGCACCCATTGACTTTAATATTTTTTTGATGGCACCCATCAACTTCCATAAAATTTTTTTTTTGATGACACCCATTGACTTGCATTGTAATTTTTCTTTTACTACTACTGTAGTCAATATATCCCATCAACCAGTTTTGATTAAAATATGTTCTTTGTATTCAACAAAAGAAAGAAACTCATAAAACGGTTTGACACATGAGAGATGGCAATTTTCATTCATGGGTGAACTATCTCTATAATTGGCATGAATGTTGATGCTAGTTACTGTAGTTTGGTGATGATCTAGAATTGTGTGTCCTTCTCTTAGGATCTACAAATGTCCATTAAACTTTGCAACCGTTCAACCGAAACCATTCGTCTGTCCATGAACTGTCAGGGGACTAATTAAAACATGAACGCATCAGAGCGACGAGGCATCTGTCATTTATCAGTTGTGTGATATTACAGAGAAACTTAAGTCACGAAAGGGCATCTGCATCTTTCTTAAATAAGTGAAATAGATAAAAATGTGATATTAACTTAACCTTTAAAGATATGTAATATTCTAAGACAACGTAATTGCTTTATTTGCCATATTTCTACATAAAAAACATTTTAAAACAGACTTTTAATGTAATATATATCTTAAAATTTCACCTGAGCATGCGCACGAGTGCAGGGATGCCGCCTGATTTAAAGATGGCCAGCAGACCCTCTCGCTGGTGTGAGAGGCTGTGCAGAACACTGGCAGCGCAGCGGGCCGTCTCCAGGTCTCCAGTGTTCTGCATGGCCCTCACCACTGCCGACACCATCTGAGGAGACTGCATGAGCACGCGGCGGGACGCCTCCTTCCGTGTCAGCTGGTTCACGATCAGCGCTGCCTTGTTCACCACCACCTGCAGAGGTAAGAGAAAACAAGAGATCTCACCAAGCAAAAAATGTAAAGTTTTGTGTCCATCAAGTGGTTAGGTGCAGTGTAATATTGCATTACTCTGTGAAGTCGCTATAATAGTGTCGTAATTTAACTTCAGCTTTAGTTCAGTTCAATAACTGTGAATCAGCTTAATAATGTTGACACTGCAAAGTATGAGAACATTTTAAAATAAAGCAGCTTTACGAAATATTAATATTTACTAATGATTGGATTGATTGATTGATTGATTGATGGATGGATGGATGGATGGATGGATGGATGGAATGAATGACTGACAAATGATTGGATGGATGGATGGATGGATGAATGGAAAAAACAATTGATAAATGACTGGATGAAAGAATGGATGGGTGGATGGATGGATGGATGGATGGATGGATGGATGGATGGAAAGAACAATTGAAAAATGACTGGATGAAAGAATGGATGGATAGATGGATGGATGGATGGATGGATGGATGAATGGGTGGAAAGAACAATTGAAAAATGACTGGATGAAAGAATGGATGGATAGATAGATAGATAGATAGATAGATAGATAGATAGATAGATAGATAGATAGATAGATAGATAGATAGATAGATAGATAGATAGATAGATAGATAGATAGATAGATAGATAGATAGATAGATAGATAGATATTTGGATGGATGGAAATAACAATTGACAAATGACTAGATGGAAGAATGGAAGGATGGATGGATAGATAGATGGAAAGAATGATAGGCAAATGATTGGATGAATGGATGGATGGATGGATGGATGGATGGATGGATGGATGGATGGAAAGAAGGATTCATAAATGATAAGATGAATGGATAAAAAACCGATTGATGAATGACTAGATGGAAGAATGCATGAATGAATGCATGGATGGATGAATGGCAGATGGATGAATGACAGATGGAGAGAACAACTGGCAGACAAACTAATGGATGGATGGGTGGACTGATGGATGGATAAATGGATGCATGAATGGACAGGTAGAATGATTGATGGATAGATGGATGGATTGATGGATGAACAGAACGATTGACAGATGGACAGATGGATGAATAGATATACAGAAAACAATTGACGGATGATGGATGGATGGACTGATAGAGAAAATGATTGATGAATGGATGTACAGACAGAACGATTGACATACGAATGGAATGTAAGAGATTGGTGTATAGAGGAGAGAGGGATTAATGAATAGAACTATAGACTGATGGACAGATTGAAAGAACATCTGGGTGACAGACTGAGGGATGGATGGACTGATGGATGGATCAATTGATGGATGGATGAATGGTCGGATAGAATAATTGACATAGGGATGGCTGGATTGTAATAATGGTTGGTGCATGGTAGAGAGAAGGATAAGCTGATGGATGGATGGGTGGACTGAGGGAAGAATGGATAGAACAATGGACAGATGGAGAGAACAACTGGCAGACAGACTGACGGATGGATGCATGGATGAATGAAGGGTTAGAACAATAGTCTGATGGACGAAGAGAATAACTGGCTGACAAACTGATGGATAGATCAATGGGTAAATAAATTGAATATCAAATTGATGCTTAGAGGAGAGAAGGGATGGATGGATGGATGGATGGATGGAAAAAATAATGTTGATTTAAATGAGTTCAATAATAATAGAGAGGTTACAAATGACTCACTTAAGATATAAATCAGAAATCAGCCCTACAAATAAAGTGTTCATTCAGTTGAATTCATGCTAGTTTCTAGTGTTCACCTGATAGTGTGAGTGTCGTCAAATCAATGATGTCGCTGAGCAGTTTAACACACCAGCAAGCCAAACAAAATGATTTTGCTTAAGCAACCATATTTCACAACTGCTGACTAAAATAGTAATGAAACAAGTCACTGTGTACAACATTGCAAAAATAAATAATTTGAATGTATAAATATGTAAAAATATGCTAAAATATGCAAAATTATTCATATGGCATGAGCAGAAAAAATGAGAAATATGCTTTCTAAATGTTTTTTATAATTACAATGGTTGCACGCTCTTGGCAGTCAGTACTTCAACTTGGGAAAGTGATCATATTTTAAAGTTATTTCTTGCTTCATATCGTATCAGTCCTTTTTTTAACTGTATTTCTCTCTCCTCAGTTCTGGACAATCCTGTGGGATTGTTCCCCATCTTACATCACTGCATTACCCTTTTTCTTTCTGCGTCTTATTCTCGGAGAATGATAGCTACAAAGTCAAAACTTTTGTATTATTTGACTCTAGATCAGTTGGAAGATAATAACTCTTGTTGAATCTCGACAGAACAAAAGATAACAGCTTTTTGCTAAATTGTACTGTTTTATATTTGTTTCTGTTTAGTTTATCTACAAAAGGCTCTACACTACAGAACGAAGCTTTGCTCATAGACACAAATCTCAAATATTTTCAATCTTCAAACATACATGTTTAATAATATAAACAGAACAATAGACACAACGATAGAACAACAGACAGAACAATAGCAGGATGGATGGATGGATGGATGGATGGATGGATGGTTGAATGGTTGGTTGGATAGATGGATGGATGGATGGATGGATGGATGGATGGATGGAGGGAAATGGATGGATGGATAAACGGAATGGCATAGAGACAGAAGGTTATAATGAAGAATAGATGATATAACTGGATGGATGGATGGATGGATGGATGGATGGATGGATGGATTGACAAACTTGTGGATAGATGGATGGATCATATAATAAAAAGAATAATAAAACAATGAGTAGAAATGGATAAAATAACAAAATGATGGATGAATGGAACAATGAAATATTGGTAGATGGACTGATAGATAGATAGATAGATAGATAGATAGATAGATAGATAGATAGATAGATAGATAGATAGATAGATAGATAGATAGATAGATAGATAGATAGATAGATAGATAGATAGATAGATAGATAGATAGAATGACGGACGGACAGACGGACGGACAGACAGACAGACAGACAGACAGACAGACAGACAGACAGACAGACAGACAGACAGACAGACAGACAGACAGACAGACAGATAGATAGATAGATAGATAGATAGATAGATAGATAGATAGATAGATAGATAGATAGATAGATAGATATACAGACAGAAAGACAGACAGACAGACAGACAGACAGACAGAAAGATAGATAGATAGACAGACAGACAGACAGACAGACAGACAGACAGACAGACAGACAGACAGACAGACAGACAGACAGACAGACAGATAGATAGATAGATAGATAGATAGATAGATAGATAGATAGATAGATAGATAGATAGATAGATAGATAGATAGATAGATAGATAGATAGATAGAATGACGGACGGACGGACGGACAGACAGAAAGACAGACAGACAGACAGACAGACAGACAGACAGACAGACAGATAGATAGATAGATAGATAGATAGATAGATAGATAGATAGATAGATAGATAGACAGACAGACAGACAGACAGACAGACAGACAGACAGACAGACAGACAGACAGATTTGCACCTGGTCATCATCAGCCAGTAGTTTAGTGAGCTCTGGCACTGCTCGTGTGGCCAGCTCTGCATCATCCTGGTAGTTGATGAGGTGGACAATAGCAGTCTTCAGCAGCTGTGAGGGCTCCGCCAGTCTCTGCACATTAGTGGGCTGGTCTGGGTTGCTCTGCGGTGTGAGAACCGTCTCTCCCTCCACCAGGGTCTCGGGGAACATTGCAGCACGCACTCGCTGAGCTCGAGTCAGACTGAACTGAGCCTCCATATCTGAACGCACACACATAGGAAAAGAGCCTTGATAAACAAAACACTCACGCTGATTACTGTGATTTTACACTGTTGGGAAGTTTTTTCATATAATGTCTGAAAGGTTTAAACAGAGCTGTTGATTTTATAAAAACATGGCTGACAACTAAAAAGACAGCATGTTCAATACATTCGTTTTAAAAATAAACATCCTAAAATTTTCTATATTTTGAGTCCCAAAAAGAATAATTCTGTGGCTCAGCAGCAATAATGGCAATATATTATTAGTCAATTACTAATATTAACTATTCTTATTATTGTTATTACCATTATTAAATACACACTATTTTAAATGAACAAAATTAAATAATTTCTATTTATTTATAGAGAGCAATTAAAAACAATAACGTTGGCAAATATGGCGTACAAAATAGATCAGAAGTAATAAAATTAGGACAAAAGACAGTCAAAAAATATAAGCAAAAAACATAAAAGACAGCATTACACATAAAAAAGTAAATAGATATGATTTTAGTAACAGCTATACATTATCTTGTTAGTATTAAATAAGTTAATAAACATACTGCTACTATTATTATTTATCATTGTTGTCAGTAATATTATTATTATTATTCTTAATATTATAGCGCATCATTATATTGAGTTAACATAATTAATTGTGACTTTACAGATACACTGCAAAATTGCTGTAAAATTTACAGTATTACTGGCAATTTTGGATAAATTACAGTAAAACTGTAAAATTTACAAGTGCGCTGTAAATGAACCTTTTACAAAAGTGCTGTAAAACTATAGTTGCCTGTAAATTTTTACTGAAACAATTGCCAGTGATATTGTAAAAATTGCCAGTAATACTGTCAAAAATTCCAGTAATATTGTAAAAATAGTCAGCAATGATGTAAAATAAAATCCTAGTAATACTGTAAAAAGTACCAGTAATACTGTGCAAATTGCCTGTAATGCTGTAAAAAAATTGCCAGTAATACAGTAAAATTGCCAGTACTACAGTAAAAAAAATTACCAGTAAAATAAAAATTGCCAGTAATATTGTAAAAATTGCCAGTAATACTGTAAAATTTACAAGCACAGTGTAAATGAACAATTGCTGTAAAACGTCAGCATAATTGTAATTGTTATTTTACAGTGCACTTGTAAATTTTAGAGTAACACATTAAAAATTGCCAGTAATGTTGTAAAAAATGCCAGTAGTACTTTAAAATATTCCCAGTAATACTATAAAAATTGCCAGTAATACAGTAAAATTTCCAGTAATACTTTAAAATATTCCCAGTAATACTGTAAGCATTGCCAGTAATACAGTAAAATTTACAAGCACAGAGTAAATTATATATTACTGTAATACTTCAGCACAATTGTAATTGTTAATTTACATTGCGCTTGTAAATTTGTACAGTAATACAGTAAAATTGCCAGTAATAATGTTCAAAATTCCAAGTGCAGTGTAAATTAATAAGTACTGTAAAAGTTCGGCACAATTATAAGTGTTAATTTACAGTGCGCTTGTAAATTTTACAGTAATACTGACATTCTTAATTATGATTAATACATTAATTAATTTTCGGCTTAGTCCCTTTATTAATCAGGGGTCGCCACAGCAAAATGAACCTCCAACTTATCCAGTATAAGTTTTACGCAGCGGATGCCCTTCAGGCCGCAACCTATCACTGGGAAACACCCAAACACTCTCATTCGCGCACATACACTATGAACAATTAAGCTTACCCAAAACACCTATAGCGCATGTGTTAGGATTGTGGGGGAAACCGGAGCACCCGGAGGAAACCCACATGAACACAGGGAGAACATGCAAACTCCACACAGAAATGCCAACTGACCCAGCCAGGGCTCGAACCAGCGGCCTTCTTGCTGTAAGGCAATCGTGTCACCCACTGTGCCACCAACACTTAATTACCAGTAATACTGTAAATTTTACAGCATTTTTTACAGTGTGTGTAGACATTAATATAAATGACCATGCCATTGCAGGTGAGATCAGCTACTTTACAGCCTATAAGACCTCGACTAGGACTCATCCAATCAGAATTCAATGTCGGCAGGATACGTTTTATAAAACGCCATCATTTTTAATAATCCATCACGTCATGCTATATTTCACAGAGATGTGGTTCAGGGCGCATTTAATAACAGAACAGAGAAGCAGAGCAGGGCATGATGGGATTTCGCAACGGTGGTGACGCTCTAAATAAAGTGCAGTCAATGCTGGAAGCATGGAACGGAGGTCTTCAGAGGGTCTGTTGTGATAGCAATAACGCTCTTGCTGTAAAAAGTGAACCTGCTGCACTGAGTGTTTGGATGAGTTTCTAAATGTCACTGGCTCTGGGCGGACAATAAATTTGCAGCTTTCTTCGTCCAAACCCGCACCAGCACATATGCTGCCATGGTGAGGAATCTATTTTAATATCCCCAGATATGGAGAACACGCACCATGACAACTCCTAATAATAATAATGAGGAAAAAACACAGCTTTATTTTTATTAAACATCCGTCTTTTACTAATCAAGCAACCGGATTCTCTGAGTCATTAATGCATATCCTTATAGAGACAATACACTTTTTTTAACACACACCTCTAATAGAGCTCATTAGTGACCGCTTGCTCTTTTAGTAGCGTATTTTTCTGCAATACGGAGAACATCATTATACAACCTAACCAGCTGTGGGATGAATCATAACATTGCAAAGTTTTATTTTAAGCAGACAGAGAAAAAAGGCTTGGCGTAAGGTTTTAATGAAAGACCGTATTGTAGTTTTTAGTAATACACTCAATGAAATGACTTTTGCTACTTGTTCAGACTACTTATTTAAAATGAGTTGAAACAACACAAGTCTTAAGAATTTTTGAGACAACTTAAGGTGCTTTCACATTAGCACTTTTGGTCTGCGCATAGGTTTATTTGACGAAGTATGGTGAGCTTTGCTAGTGTGAATGATGTCTTATGAACTCAGATGCGCATTCACCAAGTTCCCCCGAGTTTATTTACAGTGCACTTCCAAATTCTACCGCAATACAGTAAAAATTGCTAGTAATACTGTAACAACTGCCAGTAATACTGTAAAAACTGCCAGTAATACTGCAAAAATTGCCTGTAAAACTGTAAATATTGCCAGTAATACTGTAAAAAAAATGCCAGTAATACTGTAAAAATTTGCAGTAATACTGTAAAGATTTCCAGTAGTACTGTAAAAAATTGCCAGTAATACTGTAAAAATTGCCAGTGATGTTGTAAAAAATGCCAGTAAAACTGTAAAAATTGCCAGTAATACTATAAAGATTTCCAGTTATACTGTACAAAATGCCAGTAAAACTGTAAAAATTGCCAGTAATACTGTAAAGATTTCCAATTATACTGTAAAAAATGCCAGTAAAACTGTAAAAATTTCTAGTAATACTGTAAAAATTGCCAGTAATACTGTAAAAAATGCCAGTAAAACTGTAAAAATTGCCAGTAATACTGTAAAGATATCAAGTAATACTGTAAAAATTGCCAGTAAAACTGTAAAAAAATTGTCAGTAATACTGTAAAAAAATGCCAGTAATACTGTAAAAATTGCCAGAAATACTGTAAAGATTTCCAGTACTACTGTAAAAATTGCCAGTAATACGGTAAAAGTTTCCAGTACTACTGTAAATATTTCCAGTAGTACTGTAAAAATGCCAGAAATACTGTAAAGATTACCAATAATACTGTAAAAAATGCCAGTAATACTGTAAAAATTGCCAGAAATACTGTAAAGATTACCAGTAATACTGTAAATATTGACAGTAATACTGTAAAAATTGCCAGTAATACTGTAAAAAAATGTCAGTAATACTGTACATATCGCCAGTAATACTGTAAAAAAATTGCCAGTAATACTGTAAAAACTGTCAGTAATAACGTAAAAATAAGTGCAGTGTAAATAATATTTACTGCAAAACATCAGCACAGTTGTAATTTTTCATTTACAGTTCACATCCTTCAGATCAAATCAGAATTCAATGTCGGAAGGATAAGTTTTATAAAACACGTTGCACTAGCTCTGCACATTTTCCATGTCCCCTTAACCAAACACACCTGATTCAGATCATCAGCTCATTAGCAGAGACTGAAAGACTTATAATGACTGTGATAGACAAAGGAGACATCAAAACATGCAGTGTTGGTGGTCCTCCAGGAACGTGGTTGAGAAACACTAAAATAATGGAAGTAAACCGCCAACTGTACAACAAACTTTAGTTTGCATAACGTTCACAGACGCAAGCGGCTCTCTGTGTGTTACCAAAGCCAAAAGACTCAGTAAAAGCTGAACAAACGTGATGTGCATTCGTCTTTCCATTTTGGCGCCTTGCTCTGACATGACTTTCACCAAGCATGACGCAAGCGTACCGGGGTTCAGAAAAAAAATATGGTGTAAACACAAACCAGCCGAGATGGTAGCAATGGGGGACAATCGAACTTAGGTTTCTCATGAAATCTTGACCAATCAAATGCTCTCTAGAATCTGACATGTCCTGCCCCCTTAAGACATTTCAAACACTTCAAAAACATTTAAGATTAACAATGTGAACTAGCAAAATAAACATAGTAAATTGGGATTTCAAGCGGACTTTATTTTACATACTATATGTGGCCATGTAATAGCCCCAGAAAATTATCAATTCCAATTATTTCTTAGACAATGAATCGTCATGTTTTTAGTAATGGTGGCACTCCTAGTGCAGACTGAAGTGTAAGTGCGTTTAGTTTAGTGCCCCTGTCACCTGCGCTGCTCTCTCCAGCGCTGTACTTCCTGCTCTCAGACTCGTCCTCATCCCTGATGGTCGTGGCTCCAGACTGAATGCCTGAGTCTGCGGTGTAGAAGCTCTGCTGCCACTCCTCCACCTTCACTGCTCCATCAGCCTCACTCACTGATGGAGAAAACAGCAGTCAATGCTGGTACAAGCACTCGATGTCAGCAGATGTATGCTCTTGTATTACTGCAATTGAAACATTTGAATTGTTTCTGCATATATTTGGTATAGGTCAGTGCTATATATAACGTTACAATGCTACAGTGCAATACTATATATAATGTTACATATAGTCACATTATAATTTAGATTAATAATACAAAAACATATTTAATGTGTGTGTATATTTGTAGTTGAGATTGATGAGATTAGATTAGTTTAGATCAAGGATCACCAACCCTGCTCCTGGAGAGCTCTGCCTTCATGCAGATTTCAGTTGTAATCCTGATCAAACACACCTGTATGTAATTATCAAGTGCTGCTTCAGGTCCTAATTAACTGGTTCAGGTGTGTTTGATCAGTGTTGGAGCTGAATTCTGCAGGTAGGCAAAACTCTCCAGGAGCAGGGTTGATGACATTATGGATTAATCATTATGAGATTAATGGTGATCGAGAACAATGATGAGATTAATCATTATACGTATCTTTACATACAGTTGAAGTCAGAATTATTAGCCCCCCTTTGAATTTTTTTTATATTTCCCAAATGATGTGTAACAGAGCAAGGAAAGTTTCACAGTATGTCTGATAATATTTTTTCTTATTTATTAAGTCTTACTTGTTTTATTTCAGCTAGAATAAAAGCAGTTTTTAATTTTTTAAACACCATTTTAAGATCCAAATTATTAGCCTTTTTAAGCTATATTTTTCTTGATAGTCTACAGAACAAAAAATAATTATACAATAACTTGCCTAATTACCCTAACCTGCCTAGTTAACCTAAACAACCTAGCCTTTGAATGTCACTTTAAGCTGTATAGAAGTGTAAAGAAGAAATGCCTGCATGTGTTTAGCGTTTTTCCTTATCACAAACACAACAGTAATCTATTAGTGATTACGTTGCTTTCGTTTTTTTGGGGTTAATTACTGTAATATCTCGATTGCAATAGAGAAATACTGGGAAATCTCTAGACCAGGGCTGCTCAAACCTGTTCCTGAAGATCTACCTTCCTGCAAAACACAGCTCTCACCCTGATCAAACACACCTGAACCAATTAATTAGGACCTGAACAGCACTTGATAATTACAGGCAGTTGTGTTTGAAATGGGTAGCAACTGAAATCTGCAGGAAGGTAGATCTCCAGGAACAGGGTTGAGCACCCCTGCTCTGGACTGATGGCATTTCATGCCGTTCAGCCTTATAATCTTAATATGTGAGCAAAATCACTTGTTTTTTCATCAATTTAGACATTACGCTAGAGAATCATTCAAATACTAGCTCTAAAGTGACGTGGGTGAACTGGCAACGTCTTCTGCTGTTCTGGCATCAGCTGCAGATGTGAATGATTGGTGGAAAAAAGTAGTTCCTCCAAAAAAGTGTCTTTGAGACTCTCCATGTTTGTTTTTATTCACATGATTATGCAGTCGAACTGTTGTATAAACGCAATATCACACTCATAGCAGTGCAATATGGCTGTATATCATCACTGGTGGGACACGATATTGCACTGCTACCCTTGTGATATTGCTTTATATATAGTATTTTATAATAATTTGTTTTATATTATTTCTAAGGTGTTAAAAACAATTATTGATTTCATTTATAGTCATTTAGATGTGATTTACACTTAAAATACACATAATTCCATTAAAATAAAAACATTTGCTGCTGACTAATTAACTTTGTATTTATTATATTATGTAACAATAATATTAATTTAAATTAAATGCCTAATGTATAACAGGTGGCCTCAGGCTTCTACATCTATCTACATAGGACTGCACAGATGACCTGTACAACATCAAAAAAAGTCAGTGAAAGACACACTATTAGTATGAAAATAATTATCCTTAGCTGATTCAACTTACTTTGCAGTGACATCACCACTGTCAGGCCTCAATCAAGCTGTGAGGAAACAGAGAGAGAGAGCAGAGTTTGAGACAGTGCAGATGCAGTTTGGATGCAGTGATCTGCAATGTGAAGTGACAGCATGCACCAGTTTAGAGAGAAAAGCACCACTGGGACTTTAAAAAATAGTGAGCAGGCATTGCTATTTATAAAACTACTGCATAGAACCATTGCACAAATCACAGGAGCTTCCCCAAAGTGGATTTTCAACGCTCTGTTTGTAGATCGCAGGTTAAGTCGATGAAGAAGAAAAAAAAAAGGAAAACGCAGGAATTTACAGTTCAAAATTTCAAGGACTAAAGAGTCTCACGAGTGTCTTTCACTGCAGGTTTGTGCCTTTAATGCTTTTGTTTGTGACTATAAATAACAGACTATGAGCAGGGAAATGGCTGAAGGTGAGGCCAATATAAGGATATGATGGATAAAGATGACACCATCATCCCAAACCACTTCAGCAGCAAAAAAACGGCCATGAACCAAGACGTCCAAGATCACTTCAGTTCAGGAAAAAAAATGACAGAGAATTTACGAGAAATACCAGCAGATCGAAATATCAAGTATTAGAAACCAAGATATAAAAAATGAGGGATCAAATTAGATAATACTAATACTAATACTAATAATACTACTACTACTACTACTACTACTACTACTACTAATAATAATAATAATAATAACAACAACAACAACAATAATAATAATAATAATAATAATAATAATAATAATAAATAATAACAACAACAACAATTATTATTATTATCATTATTATTATTATTAATATTATTATTATTATTATTATTATTTTATACTTTATTTTACCAGGAAGGACACATTGAGATTAAAAATCTCTTTTACAAGAGCATCCTGGCCAAGATTAGGCAATCCACAAGTCGCATGAGTCCAACAGACAACAAATAAAAAACTATTTACAGTTAACATGATTCACACTGACAAACTATTCAAAACATCTACAAACCTGTGTTTCAACTTCTAAATCTTTTATAGTCTTTTTAAAAGCATGTAGTGAAATCAAGTCTTTGTACTGCAACTTTTTTATTATTTTATTATTATTATAATACTATAACTATTTTATCACTATTATTGATATTTATTAATTGATTTATTTTCAGTTTTTTTTAATAATAGTTCTCGCATATAGTTAACGACAATAATCACAATAATAAATCTGCATTAAAATGTATAGTGATGATAAATATATGCATTAATATGAATATAAAAACATTACAAATCGAATGGAAAAGAAATTAAGCCATAAATACTTTAATTAAATGACTCTAATAATGGTAATTAAACTGAAAAGATTAATCATAAAAAGCTTTTTAATTTAAATATAATCTTTGATGTAATATTATTTCAAATAAAAAATGTAGTCAATTACAATATTTATTATAAATGCAGATTGTGCATTAATAACACTGAACATAACTGTGACTGATTGATAATGTTATTATTATTATAAAATTATAAATAAAATTAAAATATTTATTTAATTTATCCTGCATTTTTTGTTAAGCTTATAATTGTTATATTGTTATAATTGCTGCTAAAACTGAAAATAGCTTTGATGATAATGATTGCATGTGTAAAGCTTTTTAATAAATAGTGTAATAAATAAAAAATCAACAAATATAGTACTGCATATATAGTCTTTTCTTAATTGTTTATTAGGGAAAACAGCTTTGCGATTCCATCCAGAGCTCTATCATGAGAAGTGGCCATCTAAGGAGTTCAACCTTTAATGATGTCAAACTAGAGCCATGTCCAAACAAATCCAGAAGTATGATAAGCCTGTCTGCCAAGCTAATCTAACGTCAAAAAACTATGGTGATGAAAAGTGGCTGTAGTTCTGGTCCTGTCCGGACTAAAAAGTTGTGCGTGAACACACCAAACGGATGACAGCAGACTGAAATAAGAAAGTGTGCTCTGTGACTATGTGAGAGAATGTTTCTCTCCACACCTGCAGGTGGCAGTATTAGTCAGTATTGTCATGCCACAGAGACAAACCATAAGTAGTGCTGCACACATACAAAATGTAAACAAAGCAGCGTTTACAAACCATTTTCAGGAATTTGTTCATGCAAATACATATAATAATCCATATAGTTTGCAAATATTTGAAGCAATCAACTAAAAGACAGCCAGGGTGGTGACAAATCTACTCCTGGGTGTTTCAAATCACTTAAGTCACGTGATCTGGGTGTTTCGAATTGATTTAGTCACATGACCTGGGTGTTTTGAATTACTTCAGTCATGTGACCTAGGTGTTTTAAATCACTTTAGTCACATGACCTGGATGTTTCGAATCGCTCCAGTCACATGACCTGGGTGTTTCAAAACACTTTAGTCACGTGACTTGAATGTTTCGAATCGATTTAGTCACGTGACCTGGGTGTTTCAAATAACTTAATTCACATGACCTGGGTGTTTCGAATTGCTTTAGTCACGTGACTTGAATGTTTTGAATTGCTTTAGTCACGTGACCTGGGTGTTTCGAATCACTTCCTTCACGTGACCTAGGTGTTTTGAAACACTTTAGTCACTAACTTGAGTGTTTTCGAATCGCTTTAGTCATGTGAACTGGTTTTTTTGAACCACTTTAGTCACGTGACTTGAGTGTTTTCAAATCGCTTTAGTCCCGTGACCTGAGTGTTTCGAAATGCTTTAGTCACATGACCTTGGTGTTTCTAATCACTTCAAGCAGGTGACCTAGGTGTTTCTAATCACTTCAGTCATGTGACTTGGGTATTTCAAATCCCCTTTGTCACGTGACCTTGGTGTTTTGAATCGCTTCAGTCACGTGACCTGGGTATTTCAAATTGCTTTAGTCATGAGACCTTGTTGTTTTGAATAACTTGAGTCACATGACCTGAGTGTTTCGAATCGCTTTAGTCACGTGACTTGGGTGTATCGGATCATGTTTCAGTGCAGTGTTTCGAAACACTTGCACTTCGGGATCTCGACACTGTTTCGAAACGCCATTCCTATAGTTCGCCTGTTTATAACGATTACTCTATGGGTTACCTTCATGTGCTTTTCTGTTCCTGTTTTGACCTGTACGACTATCCCAAAATAAAGCTGCATTTGGAACCTCACCTCTGTTGTGTTTACACACAGTAAGCGATAGTGATTCTACATGCTGAATCAGGTGAACTTCCTTTGTACGGTCACCTTTTAGAAATACTCTGTCATATGTGTAAATCGTTTTTTAGTACTTAATCTATTATTTGTATGAAAATCCAACTCTTTAACACTGTGAATAACTTTGAAAGCATAAATTGGATGACACCCCTCGCTTCACCCCCTTAACAACATGACCTATCATGCGTAAACATTGCCTTATAGAATTAGATTAGACTGCAAAAAGTTGCAGCAGTCACAGGTCTGATTTTAAACAATTTTTTTCTTGACCTTTAAGAAACAACAAAGAGAATGCAAATTTGTATTTCTGATCATCAATACCTCCTCACTCAGAAACATTCAGAACTAAAAGCAGACGCTCTCTCATGTTAGCGATGCAGAAACGAAGACAAAAGAGCTGAATTTTAATGAGAACGAAAAAAACACACACTTGCAAGAGCATATCATCAAACAGCGAAACAAGAAAAGACACCATTTCTTTTATAAAAGCAGTGACTAATCCATTTTATCTCTTTGAATTACTTCCTTATGGCAGCACATCTTACAAGATCTTATTTTTCCTTCTTTTTTTTTGTTTCCCTCTTTTTCAATTTAAATGGGAGCCAGCTTAAAAGCGAGTCTCTGTTTAGTATTCACCGCTCTGTCTCGCTCTTGCCCTTTTCTCATCTTGGGCTTCTTTATAAAACATTGAGTACAGTTCGCCGCTGTCCCTCATGTCCATAAAGCATATGGGGATTTGCTAACTGTTGTTATGACACCACGTGCCCTGCATTTTCCACACTCATTAATCACATCAACGTTAAAGCTAGACATTTAACACGCAAAACACACACGCAGGCTGGTCAAACCTGGTCAAACGCAACACTCCAGCAGCCGGAAAAACACATTACAACTGATTACAAGAGAGAAAGATGTACAAAAAATGAGCAGTCTAGCCTAGTAGGCATTAAAGAGCCATTAATTATGTATGCGCCGATTAATTAAAAAAGTTTCTGGGTTAAACAAGGCTTAAGAGGAAGTGTGTGTATTGTGTCTTCTTTATATTCCATCAAATTACCATGTTTAAAGTGCCAGTTACCATTTCCTTTTATTTTTTTTGGGAGGGAAATTACCTTTGATGCAGTGTGTATTGTCCAACACAATCTCATGGCAATTCGTAACTTTTTGATTTAGTGGCTAATTCGTACGATCTAATTCGTACAATTTAGTACGACTTGCTCATCCCAGAATGACGGTTGGGTTTAGGGGTGTGATTAGGGGCCACGCCTCCTTTTTAAAATCGTACAATTTTCATACAACTGAACTTGTACGAATTGTACGAATTAGCCACTAAACTGGCAAAACGTAAAATACTCACGTTTTCTTGTGAGATCAGACTGGTATTGTCATAGTAATAAAGGCAAAACGCATAAATGCTGGCTTAGAAATTTGATCAGAAGAAGATTTATAGCATTATATATTTTATATTTTACAGTTGAAGTCAATATTATTAGCCCTCCTGAATATTTTTCCCAATTTCTGTTTAATAGAAAGAACATTTTTTCAACACATTACTAAAAAAAGACCCTATCACACACCTGGCGCAATAAAGCGCAAGACATGTTTGCCGCAATTTGTTGCTATTTTCAGACCAGCGCAACTGTAATTTTCACGTTTTGCACTGTGTTGTTTAAATAGCAAATCCATTTGCGCGACTTTGTAGACTCATAGGTGTTCTGGGGTCTGTTGTTTGTAGATCCTGGATCTTTTAATCTTGTTAACTGATCTCTGGCTAATTTGATTCTTCAAACAAGTTTGTGACTCTTGAAAATGTCTAAATGAACTGATCTCAGTTGAGT